TATGGAAAACCAAATAAAACATGACGGGGTGTAAATATAAAATAATATCTTCTTACCTCCTCTGCTACCAGTTCCAGCAATGTCTCCTCTCTACTTCCTCCAAACTAACCTCTCACCTGGAACTTCATTTTTATACATGACATCACTTCCTATGTATACATGTCATAACTTCCTGTGCACACCTTACATCACTTCCTGCTTGAGCGGAACACTGACAATAAAGAAGATCCCCACCGTGTGTTGAATATAGATACTACAGTCTATGGTGTACGTTTAATAAACTGTGAAAGAGTGTGATAAGCAGTGAGAAGGCTTTTCTCACCTTAGCAAAGTGAAAAGTCTAGAAAATGCTGTTTAATAACCCGAGATAAGTCAGGTAGGAACAGAAATATCTCACCTCTTCTCATCCTGGGGATAAGTACCCAGAAAGTAATGGGAATGTACCTGTTTAATAAAGGGAGAAAAGTAGAGAACAGCTTTATCACGAGATAAGTATTGTGCAAAGTACCCTTGATTTAGCACCCTGTCAGACCTGGTGATAAAGGCCTTTTTCTCGAGAAGCACTGAGCAAAGATACAGGAACTTCCTCCTCTGTCACTCAGTTCTTCTCTGTTTCCAGTCCTGAGGAGAAGTTTGAGTGGTATGTTCTATTCAGAGCCTAGTGCTATTCTATCCAGCTGTTACCCCTATCTAACTTTTTAAAAAAATAAATACATATACTATAATACAGGGCTCAAAATTTCAGGTCCTGAGCTCCTAGCCAGGCCTTCAAAGTTACTCGACACCAGTTGCCCTTCATAACACAAACAAACACACTACAAATCGGAACATGTAAATCCTGTTTTTTAGCAATTTTCTTCATTTTAACGGTGAAATAACTGTTGCACTTTGCCATAGCGGTGCTTTGTAATATTGTTAATGGGTGGTTTGGCAGATTAAACTACGATCCTGTCAGGAGGAATGCAGATTATCACAAAGGATGTCATTGTGCAGCTTAGAATACATTCCCCCCATTGCTTTCTCAACTGATCACTGAGATAACTTATCTCAGCCTTTCAAAGCTGTTACGTGAGAAGTTTTCTTTTCGCAGGTTATTAAACAACATCTGTGCAGCAGAGAAAAACCAAGAGATCTGCTGAGTAAAGTTAACTCGTGCTAAAGCTAGTTTTATCACAGTTTATTAAACGTACACCTATGTTTGTTACATTTTGCCCGTTGCCTTGCGGTCCAGTCTTCTGGTGTTACATTCGGGATTACGCCCGCATATTATAACCCAATTATAATCCAGACAATGAGGAAAAGGAAAAACTATCATTTTATGAGGTTTTAATATTGATAAATGTCAAACTGGAAAATGAATAACAAACTGAAAATCACTTATAACATATAAAAGAAGAAATACACAATACTTATATCTACATTTATATTCTACTAAACATTACTGATAACGTCATCGATTGAAACGTGGAATAACTTTATTACCATCACACAGAATAGACACCAATCACAATCCGAAGAACGAAAACAAAAGATTCATTAAAAAAAAAACATTCTTATTGCTTCTGTTCTAATATTTATAGTTATGAAGATACAAAATTATAAAATACAACTCAAATTAGATGCTCAGAATTGTAAAATATTAGGGCTGGTAATGATTAAAATTTTCCTGTTCGATTAATCAAATTTTTTTAAAATTGATTAATCGATTAATTATAACGCACATACAGATCCAACTACATTGGCCTATACACATACAGCACAGCAATGAAGTAATAAAATGAACTAGGATCACACTAATCCAGCACGTTATTATTCTGAGTTGCCCCACTCAATATGGCCGCCGCTTAAATGGGGCAACTCAGAATAATAACGTGCTGGATTAGTGTGATCCTGAAAGTATCATTTGATAATACAATACAAGCCCCCTTTTAATTCAATATAATACCGGTCCTCTTTAGAAATATATGTTAAAAGTCAAGAAAGTCTTAAAATGAGTATTCAGTAGATTTTCAGTCTATGTCTGCTTTTGTTTATCTGTATTGTACTCTGCACTTTTCTTATGGTATAGTGGAACTGGCCGTTAGTGATAAGAGTTATCTATGACTAATGCTATCTGATTCCAAAATGTGTCTTTTTATCTATTTCTCAAGACACTGTCTCTCTTCAGTATGTGCTTATATGGTACAAAGTTTAAACGTTGATTCAGCATTTTCCACACTACATTCTCAGTATAAAGACTAAGAAACTCTTGTAATAAACTGAACATGTTTGAATCTGCCTCAGTGTAGTTCATTCTGTGT